AACTCTCACTCCACAACCTCTTGAAATCCAAAACACTCCACAACCAACAGAAACCCAACCAATTCCCTCAATACCTCAACCACAACATTCTGACCAACAAACATCTGAACCACAAACCAACCAACCAACATCTGAACCACAAATCAATCCTCAACCTTCTGAACCACAAACATCTGAACATCCATCTTCACAACCTCAACCTTCTGAACAAACACCACAAACACAACTAACCCAACCAAGAAAACCCAGAATCCCTGATGAAGCAGAATTGGGATCACGTGTTTATACTCTGTTAAGAGATTTTGATAAGGATAATGTCTCAGACTTTGCTGACATTATGGATGTTTGCATGACTACTATGGACAAAGAGGCTGCTGACGCTGTTTGGAAGAAATATCTTTACAGACTGAATAGGGAGGCTTTGAAAATCAGGACTCAATGTCTTAGATTGTCAAAAGTAAGGTTTGCTGCTTATCAAAAACGGATTAAGAGAAACACTCCTCCTATTCTTCTTCTAGAAGCTCCTCCACCTCCAGAAATTCCTGCACCTGATGTTACTCAGACTGTTTCAAAATCTACTGTTTCAGAAATTCCTGCACCTACTGTTTCAGAATCTACTGTTTCAGAATCTACAGATCTTCAGAAGGATGTCAAAAAACTTAAGGATTTTATGGTTGATCAAAAGAAAACAAATGAAGAAATGAAAACTTGGATGGCTAAGCAAGATGAAAATTCAGAAAGGATTACAGCACTGCTGCAACTCATTGCTTCTCAACAAGCCTCATCTGCTAAACCTACTTGATATTTTGCACAAGTTTTTCATGTTTTGCTTTGTTTTGATTTTCTTCTGATATGTTTTGTTTGCTTTTATCTGAATCTGGATGTTCTCTTGACTTAATGACAATGATCTTTTTGCTTATCTGGATATGTGTTTCTTCTGCATCTTTACTGTCTTTTAAAATTCTTTTTGATTATGACAAAAAGGGGGAGAAACAAAATAGAATCTGATTGTTCAAATCTATAAGCAATTATCTGAACTAAGTCAGACATGTTACTAACATTCTTTGAATTTAAGTGTCCCAGATATTATTAAAAAATCTGACAAATTTCATTGAAGTTTTTCCTGAGATCTATCTTTTCAGAACCTGATCAAAAATAGCTAAATCTGAGTAGACCAGACTCTGATATCTAACCTTGAGTACTATGATCTAAAAGATAACTCAAGACAGGAAATGGCAAGATAAACAACCAGGTGCTCTGAAGTTGTTCATCTGGCATCAAGCTTTAATATGGCATCAAGCTTTGACTCTAGAAGTCAAACATATGTCAACCAGGCTTCAATCAGGCTCTGAATCTGAAATGTACTCAACCAGAAAGGGAAGTATCTAATTCCATTAGAGTATTCATTTCAGGGGGAGATTGTTAATCTCAGGGGGAGTAATTTTAATTCATATTTTTTTATTGAACAAATTTCTCATGTTTTGTCATCATCAAAAAGGGGGAGATTGTAAGAGCACAGATTGTGTCTTAGTAATATCTCTATGTTTTGATGATAACATTAATGATAATTTGTATACAAGAATTATACTCTCTAAATTTGTTCTAAACTGTTTTCTATAGGCACAAAAGATTTTAATCTTAAAGAGCAAATTTGATGTGAACAATAAATTCTGAATGGCTCAAGAGCATCTGAAGATTAGAAGAATCTGAAGTATAAGAGCTTAGTCATCAAGATTCTGAAGATACAACACGCTGCATATATTATCAAGAATCTGATTGAAAGAAGACTCTGAGTGAAGAGACTCTGAATGAAAGAAGACTCTAAGTGAAGAGACTCTGAATGAGAGAAGACTCTGATCTGAGTGAAGACTCTGATCTAAGAGCATGTTACGCTTCAAGCACACAGCTGCACCAGACTCTGATTCATCAACATCTGAAGAACATCTTAGGCTCTGAAGTTTCCAGAAGATTCTGAAGACTGAAGACTCTGATATTGATTGTTGATCTGAACTATCTGAAGAATTATTTGAAGAAGATTATTTTAATATATCCGTTGGAATATGCCAGCAAATCTTTCCTTAATTGGGATAGACATAAATCTCTGCAAGAAGATTATTCCTCTGATACATTCCATATATGGTAAATTCACAGCTCAGCAGACAATTGCTACACCCACATTTTGTGCGCCGTCTCTCTGCTGCAATAGTACAAAGGACAGTACTATTTGATATTGGAAATATCTTCTCCAACGGTAAAATATTCTCTCCAATATTCAAGTGGCTATATAAAGGACATCATAGCTCATTCTTCAAGTGACGAATTTTGAGACAAAATCATTGCAAGAACACTCTCACGCGAAAAACTCTCAAGCTCTCATATTCTTTGCTGTTCATACATTGTGCTAAACTTAGAGAAATAACACAGTTGTGTTTATAGCTTTCATAGAAGCAATTTATTACTCTTACATTGTATTACATTAATTTGTAAAGGAAGTTTTCCTTAAGAGGATCTAGGATTAGATCAGTAGCTCTTGAGAAGACTAAGAACAGTTGTTCTTAGGTGTTGTTTTCCTTAAGAGGATCTAGGTTAGATCAGTAGCTCTTGAGAAGACTAAGAACAGTTGTTCTTAGGTGTTGCTATTTGTAATCAGTTGATTTGAATAGTGGATTAAGTCCTTGTTGAGAAAGGCAAATCACTCTTGGAAAGGGTGGACTGGAGTAGTTGAGTTCAACGAACCAGGATAAAAATACTTGAGTTTTTATCTTTGATTATTTTCTGTCATACTTATTCAACCCCCCCTTCTAAGTATTTTCTCACCTTCACAAGATTCAACATGAATCTAAGAAACAAAATCAAACACACAAGGCCTCACGTTCACTCGTGTTTTCTGTGTTTCCAAATGAATCTGAACCGGAGCTCTAGATACCAATTGTTGGTGCAAAGGTGAATAAATGATGAACAGAGAAATATTCTATTAAAGAGAAAGACGGCTACACAACTCACTAAACATTACAATGATTGCAACCCTATTTATAAGCTAAAACTAGGGTTACTAGAATGAGATAAAATACTAAAATACCCTTTAACAAACTTAGGGGCTAAGTAATAGTACAACTAAATATGAATTACTTCTAATAACTATAAGGGGTTCAAGATTATAAATATAACATATGTTGAAATGTATGGATGATTATAAATATATCTTTGGATAAAGAATGTTTTTTTTAAATAATTTTATAACATATCGAGATATTTTCTCGTTCTGACCTGTATCCATCAAATTTTTAAACATTTTCACCACTATATTGCTCATGGTTTTCATTTAGGAAATCAACATACACTAACCACCTTTACTTGAGTTCTTCTATCAATTATATATGCATTATATTAAATTGTTTTTGCTTATATGAATTGTGAAAAGGAGGAAATTGACATTTGGGTTTTAGGGATTGGTTCAAATTTGTTAAAGGATGTAAATTGTTCTCTAATCAATGTTGTTGCAAACATTTTTAAACACTATATTCATTTATTGTATTGATATTACATTTCAAATAGTGTGAGATTAGATGTAAATTTGATGTTGAATTAGTTAGGATATTTCAGGTCTACAATTGAAGTCTGAAATAAGATCTGATAGTAAGGTTTTTGATAATTCTATGCCCTAGGTCTAATAATCTGGGGAAAAGACGAGGGCGATAGGTATCTACAAACATTAAAAGTTATTTAGACTTAAAATGATTTATACATGAATACGAGTCTTTCATTAGGATTTCATAATAAGGTCATGGGATTTGAATTCTTAAAACCTTTTCTTAGAGATACTTGTCTTAGTAAAGGATGATCCAAAATCAATTTTTTCTTAATTTGAAAATCATTCTGAGTTTGCAAAAGAATTTGAGATATACCTTATCTTTCATTATATTTTTAGTTTTTTTACTCTTTTTTTTTGCTAGAAAGTGATGGAGTTTTGCGAGATTTTTGTTGACTATTTTTAAGATTTGTTTGAGAATTTGGAGAAGAGAGGAAGAGAGGGTTTTGAAAATTGATTTTTTTTAATATAAAAAAATTGTAAATATTTTTTTAAATTTTTTTTATTTAGAATAATAAAAGAGTGTTTATTATTTATATATTTTTAATTTTCAAAAATAATATAACAACATAAATTATATTTTAATAAATTTATAAGCCCTCCAAATGCCTCTTTCAATCAATTTTTTTTAGTTCTCCCAAATTATAGGCTTTTGGTGTATAAGTAAAGATAAATCCCACAAAACTTTTTCTGCTTAAATCTTTCTATTTTATTTTATTAATCCTTCCTTTTTTTTTTATTAAGTCCTCCTCTCCTTTCTCCTCCAAACTCTTAAACAAACCCATTAAAAATATAAAACATACAAATCGTATATTGATAGTCTATGAACTAGCGAGTGATTATTACTTGTCATAATTATTGTTTAGAATTATAAATTATAATTATATCATGATCTAGCAAAATTTTCACTTATCAAAATCTTTTTTATTATTTTGTCTTTATTATTGTTTAAATTATTTTATTTTATTTTTATTTAATCGTTTAGTGGTTGAAATTTTTTCTTTAAAAAATAAATAGATAGAACATCACTGATTCAAACCTACATTTTTACTTTCTGATTTCTTTACTTTCTGATATCCTTTTAGAAAATTGTCTTAAGTATTTCTCTAGAACCTTTTAGGGTATGAAATTAGTTATGTTTATATCCAAAAACAAATTTACTCACAAAAAAGACTATAAAATTTTTTTTAAATATAATTCTCTCTTTTTTTTTTGTTCAGATTCCAAGTTATAATTTTCTCAAGCTTACCCTCTATTATTTTTTTAAAAAAAAGACCGGTAATTTCTTGCTAAACGAAAACGTGTGGTTTATTTTACTTACATTTCTTAAATTTTTGGTTAAACGGTTTCTTTACATTCTTTCTTGTAAATTGCAATCACAGTTTTCAAATTAGGAACGAAAAACGAAAAAATGGCGGGACCTGACCCCTCTCCTTCTCCAAAGGTTTTTCTTGCAAATTCCGGAATCGTCGCCGGAGCTCCCGTTGCCAGAAAACTTATCCGCGGCGGATATGGAGAAGAAGATACCACGCAGCACCGTTTCGGCATCCCTTTCGCCATATCCCTCAACCTTCTCTCCGATTCTTGGCATTTCCAACCCGATCGCTTTCTCCCTGTATGAACTCTCTGCATAATTCTTTCAATTAAAAGCATACAATTCGAAGTTTATCAACTGAAAACGAGATTGAAAAATAAAAAGTTACCACGATTCGATATTTGATTTTCGTAATGGTGTAGTTTTTGACTGAGAATACGGACTTCACTGTGATTGGAGTGATTGGGGGACCTGGAGTTGGCAAGTCCACTTTAATGAATGAACTCTATGCATTTGATTCAAGTTCTTCGGGTTAGTTTAGTTTCTTTACTCACAAATGATTTTAGAGTATATATTCGTTTTAGTAGAAGAGGGAAAAGTCACATTAAAAAACGATCTTATACTGCAAAAACGGCAATCGATATCAGAAGGAATTGATAGTGATACTGTCAATCGCCGTTTTTGTGATAAAGAATAAAGATTCACACCGCGACGAACATCAACGTTGCAACACCTGTACGGACCAAAATAGCAAAAGCCTTTATGCGACTGCGACCGTTTAAAACCTTGGTTAGAATTGACAACTTTGAAATAGTGTTCTATAGTTGAAGAAAATAGCAATTTGTTCAAATTATATGAAGTAATTGTGCTATAGTCTCGATATAGCTACTATTTGTCAACATTTAGTATTAAATAGTGTATTGCAGAAGAATATAGATTTTTTCTTTTCAAATTCTGTTATGTTATAGCGATAGAGTCGCTATTAATGTGTCCTTCAATAGGCTAATGCATCATGATTTTGAAATTCTTATAATAATTTGTGGACTTTTTCTAAGGAGTAAACTAGGTTATGCATTTTTTTCTTAAGGACTAGAATGAGTTTTTACTCTATTTTAATGTTTCTACTTATATGATTTGATTGATATTTGAGCATGTAGTAGATATGCTACCACCTTTTGTCATAGAATCTGTAGAGGAAAGAGCTACGGCAAGGCATTGTTCTAAGGGAATTGAACCAAGGATATCTGCTGAACGTGTTATTCTTCTTGATACACAGGTTTAACTTAATTGCTCAAAATGTTTTCTTCTTTTTCTTATTTGTGTATTCATTTGATTCCTTGTATTTGTAGCCTGTATTCAGTGCTTCTGTTTTAGTTGAGATGACGGAACCTGATGGATCTTCAACAATTTCGGTGATGAGTGGAGAAGGAGAATCTTTGTCAGCTGAATTGGCTTATGAGGTTATGGCTATTCAGGTAAACAGGGACTCCCAAGCAGAGAATATTTTTTCAATACAAATATAATTCTGTGTATAAACTTCATATCGTGATCACAATTGTCCTATTTTTAACTTATTACCGACCGATGTGTCCAATCAATTTGATTGTGTTGGGATGCTAAAAAGAATCTTTCTAGCTTGCTGTTTTTCTAGCATCCACATGTCATATTCTGCTGGTGGTGTCCGAGGGAGTCCATGATGACAACTTGTGGCATTTGATGTCAAGGGTATGTGCATTGCTCTAAGTTTTCTTATGATACTTGCAGATGCTTCATTGTTGTGTTTAATGCCTGTGTGATTATTTCATAGTATGCTGAAGTATGCAGTCATCTGAAAAACTGTTGTGCCTATTGGTTTCATCTTCTTCTGAGCTCAATTTTTGCTTAAGGAATTGGGCTAATAGATCAAGGCCTTCCCTTCACTTTCTTGCCTATATGAAATCAAAGGGTTTAAGATCCATTCATTATTTTCACAATGATCATTTTGGTGAATAGTCGCAAACTTTTTGGATGTGTTGTGTCTTGGAAGTAATTGCCATTTGTTATTCTTAACGTGGTATAACAACTCACCAATTTGATCTTGTTTTTCTGTCAACTAATTTTTAAGTGAGCGAGACATCAAGTGATTCAATATCTGTGTCCAGATCATTTTATCTCTTGTTTCAGATCTGTTTCTTCACTCAATGTTATAATAACTTGTATTGGGGTTAGTTCAGATGATAATTGACTTGATTAATCTTTTTTCAGCTATGAGCATTTTAGATTTTAAATGAATCGCTTATTATGCACATGCATGATGTTATTAAATTGAAAATGCTTGTAACACAGCATCTTATTATTCTCTACAATTTGTCTGGAAAGCTGTTTCTGGGCACCCTTGTCGTACACATCTTGTGCAGCCACTTAATTTATTTATAAACATCATGTGGTTAAACCTATTGATGCATTGAAAAGGAATAATCATGCCGTGCTTGTTAAAATGTAGGCTGACTTGCTGAAGAATGACATTTCAGACCCATCCTTGCTATCTTCATCCCTTTCACAAAGCTCTAGCTCAGGACTTGAGAAAGATAGCAAAGTTCCTGAAAGGGAATACATGGCTACTCCTGTTTTTGTACACACAAAGTAAGAAATTTATTTCTTCCTGAATATATTTGCAGAAAAGAATTGGCATAAATGAGTCATCAAATGCTGTAATTATTGCAAATTGCAATGCATTCATGATAAACTCTAACATGCATCATGATTTGAACAAACTATCAGGATCTTATATTTGGGTATTATATAAACAAAGGGGAATTGTGCATTGTAGTATATGCTTTCTTGGGAGTCAGAATCCTTAGAATGAACTTTTGTGTATGTCCAACCTTCCATAATTATAAGTTATAATTTTACACTGTTTAGCATTGTATGTATCCACTTCATTACCTAATTGAAATAAGGTTGATGTATAATGAAGCACTCACCTTTACTTTATGTTGACTTATACAGGCTAAGAGATCAAGAGTTGACTCCTAAAAATATTTTGCTGCTGAGGAAGGCGCTTATGAAGTATTTCAAAAAATCCTCTTTTGTTAGAAATACTACTAGAAACCATTCTAATGAGCAAGTTTCATCTTCTATGGTTCACAATAGGGACATGGATTCTAACACGCTAAATTTGTTTTCGATCCCATTTAAGGGAAAAGGGGAAAATCCCAGAGCTCAGAGTTATATTTCTGCCCTACGGAAAACACGAGATCAGGTAACTCTTTCTGTGTACATGCACACACCACACGTGCGAAATGAATATCTCACAAATACTTAATGATTTATTAAGTTTTTGTTGTTGCTATAATTATATTCCTCCTTTCTTGCACACCAGTTAGTTTTAATAATCTATAGAATTTAGGACTCATTGTGATATGTTTACCTGTTTGTAAGATTTTATCGGTGAAGCGACCATCTTTCATGAGACCCGTGTCTGAGCGTGAATGGCTAAAAAGTTCAGCCAAGATATGGGAACAGGTTAGAAACTCCTCAAAGATATCAGAATACTGCAGATCACTTCAAGATTCTGGTATGTATTGAGCGTGGAAATTTAATGAGGTTAGAACAATGATGGTTTGTTACTCGATTTCAAGATATTTCCTGTTGTAAATCGATCATAATCTGAATCTCACATTTGCTATGCTGATTTTATGGCTGGTGAATACAATCCTATACCTAATCTCTTGAAAAAAGTTGGATGGTTCAGATGTATTGTTTTGCTCATACTCGTAGTACACATTTGGTCTGAGTGTATTAGTGACACAAACTAATACGTTATTCATTGAAGTGTTGAGATGACAGCTTCAATTCTAATTTGAATCATGTCTTGAGTATAAATCGAAATACATTACAAAACAAAACAAATGAAAAAATAGATCACTACAAAAACAAAGCACAATACACGAGGGGTAGTTAGTCAAGTCTAAGCAATACATCTTAAGGAAAATATAAGAACCCGGAACACATAAAATAAGGCCAAATATATCGAACAAATTTCAGTAGAGAAAATAAATGAAGAAAAATGAGGTTCTCCTGCAAGTCAAGTCGGAGCAGGAAGGAAGATGGGAAGGTTTAACAAAGCTTACAGAGCAAAAGGTTTCAGTGAGCAGGTTTACCATCTAACTCAATCACCATTGGAACAACTTGTGACCAGGAATAGTTTTACTACCTGCACACTACCATGGCAACTTGTACTAATGGTACCTATTTGGCAATGGGTTTATTTGACTAATACTTATCCCCCACTTGTAAGTTTAATCAAAAAGATTAATCTAACAGAATAACATACAGAACATTGAAAAGAAAAAGTAATTAACCAACACCAATACATACAACACAGACTACAAAACTGAACAAAAAAACATAAAAATCCAGTCTGTATAGAAGAGAAATTTACAAGTAGATTAGAATTTAGATAGATTTAACCAAATAATAACCAGAACAAAAGAAATATCAGTGATGATGAATTTAACAAATGCCAAGAGTTAAATCCAGGTGTGGCTGCAGAGGGTTTGGAGGGTGTCTTTTCAGCAACGGCAGGTGGTACAGCACGAGTATTATTGGGGACATGCTGCTGCTGATTGGCTGGTATAGAGGCTGGTGATCCACCGCTGGACGGTGATGTAAAATTTGCCGTGTCTCTCATGCTGCTATCTTGACCTGCATTTTAACAATTAGCATCAAGCAGAAATTACCGTGAAAAACATGATCACAACATAGGACGGAAAATTATAGTACAATGCCGATACTACTATTTCAGTGCCCTAGTTTGCTTGAAATAGAAACAAATGAATAATCTATAGAGACATTAAACGTATAAGGTAATACCATAATACTAAATAGATATTAAAAGAAAAAAATAAACATGAAAGGCCAAAATTTTCCCCTTATCTTTGGCAAATGGCACAACAAATTAATAATTCAATGAGAATTCATATTAAATAAGCATGGAAAATGTTCACCAATGAATTCTTTTAAAGCGAGAGAAATACTCACAATTGGATCTAGACCAGCCAAAGCTTAGACTCTTCCTATCAAAGACCATATGATAGCCCATCAAGAAGTTTCTATTTCAAGCTTAGACTCTTCCTATCAAAGACCATATGATAGCCCATCAAGAAGTTTTCTGAAACAAAAAAAATGTCAATTAAAGACGTTCATTGTCAGCAAACATGCATGTGCTCTAAGACTTGTTTCTTGGAACAGAAATATAAATCATTAAAAGAATATGAAAAGGGAAAGAAATTAGGAATCGGAGGGAGGAAATGAGATTGTGTTTGATGTACAGTATGCAGTGGGTATACTCACATCCAATGGTAATGTAAATGGCAATGTAGTCGTTAACATCAGATTGTAATACAGCCAAACAAAAGGTATTAGGACCCTGCACAACTAGTTTGATTAGAATCAACTGTACCTTACATTTTGTAATACAGCCAAACAAAAGGTATTAAAATAGTTCTTAAAATAGTTTTAAAATGTTAAGAACTAGTTTGTACTACTACTCACCACATTTCAAAAATCAACTGTACCTTACCTAGATGTTGGAATACTGAGTCAAAAGTTGCAACAAAATACACTTACATTTATATTAAGAGGGCATGAGAGTAAGTAGGGAGGTAGAAGTTTAACTTACCTGACCAATAGAAATTATTGGGTTTTGAATTATAAAAGATAGATTCTTTGAGAAAGTGAGCTTCATCGGAGGAATGTTAATCAACTTGTGTGAACTGTTGTCATGTGAAAAACAGCTGAGTTATAATGAAATGTAAGAATCCTGTAAGCCTAAATGCCGAATCATTCAGTATCTAACCTAGCATTATAGCAGTAATCTGATTGGAGTTGTGGAGCGATTACCCTGGTTGCATGTACTTGTTTATCAAACTGTACTAAACACAAATTATTATTAGCTCTGTTTATGCATGATGGCAAACCACTATGCTATAATGAGAAGAAGGCTTAGTTACACTTTTGGTCCATGTAGTTTGAGCTATGTGTTATTATGGTCCTTCTAGTTTGTTTGTTTTATTTCAAGAGAATTTAGTCATGCTATTTTAAATATTAATGAAATATGGAATTTGTATTTCACGGAAATTCCTATAAATCTCTTCTTTTTTAAAAATGTTTAGGAATCGATGATGGATTTGCAATATAAAATAAATGTTTAAAGATTAAAAGTAAGAAGTTTGATCAAATTTAAATACCTTTGCAGGATTTGAGATTAGGGTTTCAAAAGAACATTTGGGATTTTTAAATTTTAATTGGATTTGATATATTTTTAACTGGTAAAGTTTATGTGAATGAATGTTAAAATAAATATAATCAATTCAAATTGTGAATTTAATTGATAGATTATGAGAATGTGAGGGTTTTAAACAAATGAAAAAGAAATGAAGGGACTATATTAAAACAATTAAAAACTTGTGGAGTTAAAACCGCTGAAAATATCTAGAAATCAAAATTACACATAGCGCATATTAGAGAGACCAAAATTGTAATACACCCTTAGAAGACTTAAAAAAATTACCTCTGCCGCAACTTTACTATAAATGCCCTTAGAAAGACATGTGAAAGTCGTTACAGTGTCAATAAGTGCTTCAAATTCAATTTTTTTTAAGGATGGCAAAATTTGATGGATATAGATTGTATTGTTAATGAATGGATCAAAACAATACATTAGTTCAATAACAATCCACTAAAATTTTCTTTAAATTATTCAATCCAATTCATCCGTTAAGAATAAAATCAATTCAATATCCATTAACATATTTTTAATGGATGGATGAATTTTTTTTTTATTTCAAAAAAATATACGTATTTTTTTTATTTTAAAAAAATCGATTTTTTTCGAAATAAAACTGATTTTTTTTTCAGAAAAAAAGAACCAAATTATTTTTTCAGAAAAAAATTAATTTTTCTTTTGAAAAAAAAATCAATTCTTTTCTTTTAAAAAATCTATTTTTAATTATTTTTAAAAAAATAAATCTAACACAAATAAAAATAATCAATTAGATCTTTAAAGTATGTTGGATGGATTCATTCAGACATATAAATAGATGTATTTAATCCAATTCATTAACTTATTTTTTATGTGGTGGATAGATTGGATGAGTTTTTTAATGAATGGATTGAATGAATTTTTTGATGAATGAATTTTATCTTAATCGATTCGATTGCCACCTCACCTCTAGTTTCTTTAAGACAGAAAGTCCTAACACATAAACTCTCTACCCCAACAACATACGCAATACTGCAGAAACTCAACCAATTAACATACAAGCAAACCAAGAAGGCTAGGAACATGTTTAGATGCGACTATAAACATAAGGCATCAGAAAAAGGATTGTAAAAACATAACTTACAATTTCCCGTTTCCAGGCAAGAATGGAGTAGACTGTTGGTGGGTGACATCTCCTTGATCCCCAAAGAGAATTCTCCCCGAACCATTTTCATTGAAATAAAGTGAGAAAGAATTCCGAATAAGTCTTGCCTTTGCCAGCAAACTTGGGACTGACATGCTTCCAGGTCCTAGACCCAACAAACCATTAGGAGCAGCTCCTGCTAAAAAGACTCCACCTTGCTTCCTACCACAACTGCACTCATAAAAACTAATTATCTTCACCACTAGAGCGGAGGCAAATCAAACTCATGGCTTGTAATCTTTCTCAACATATGAGAACTCCGAATGAACAAAATAATATGATAATGTTAGACATTACTCCCTTTGATTTTTATTATAAAAAAAATTTACTTTTTAAATACATTGAATAATCAACGTATTTGGACTATATATAGACCAGATACATTGTTTTGATCCTTATTATAAGAAAAAATTTACTTTTTAAATACATTGAATAATCAACGTATTTGAACTATATATAGATCAGATACATTGATTATTCAATATACTAAAAAGTGAATTTTTTCTTATAATAAGGATTAGAATACATACCCAAAAATGATAGAGGCTTGTATAGAATTATTTGTTGCATTATAGGATGCCAAATGTGTTGGTGCAAAGGTAGAATAAATGATGAAATAGGGAAATATTCTAATAAAAATGACGGCAGAAGAAACAGTATTAAGAGTTACAATGATTGTCACCCTATTTATAAGCTAAAACTAGGGTTACTAGAATAAGATAAATACTAAAATACCCTCTAACAAACTTATGGGCTTAAGAAAATAATATAATAAAATATGAATTATTACTAATACCATCCCTTAATTCATATTCCATCAAAACTTGTAACACCAATTCCATCCCTTAATCTGAGAAATTGATCAGTCTTGATAGCTTTCGTCAGAACATCTGCCAACTGCTTCTGAGTGCTGCAGTGTACAACTTCTAACACTCCACTCTGAACTTGATGTCTCAGAAAATGATACTTGGTCTCAATATTCTTGCTTCTCCCATGCAGCACTGGGTTTCTGGCAAGGTTGATTGCAGACTTGTTGTCAATCATCAACTTCAGAGGTTTGTCTACCTTAATCTTCAGATCCTGCAACAGATTCAGAATCCACACAGCTTGGCATGCAGTAACAGCACCTGCAATGTATTCAGCTTCACAGGTTGACAACGCCACAACAGGTTGCTTCTTGGAACACCAAGAAATGGGACCTCCCAGAAATTTGAACAAGTACCCAGATGTACTTCTTCTGTCAACTCTGTCTCCACACCAATCAGAGTCTGAATAACTCAGAAGTTCTGACTCATTATTTCCTCCAGAGGGAAATAACACTCCATACTTCAGAGTTCCTTTGATATACCTCAGAATCCTGACAGCAGCTTGGTAATGGGACCACTTAGGTTTACTCATGAACCTACTAACCATCCCAACTGAGTAGCAAATATCAGGTCTGGTATTGCACAAATACCTCAGAGAACCAACCAACTGTTTGAAGGTTGTAGCATCCACATCCTTTCCTTCAGAGTCTGAATCCAGTTTCTGATTTGTATCAGAAGGTGTGACAGCCATCTTACAATTCTTCAGATCAAATCTCTTCAGAAGTTCTAATTCATACTTGAGCTGATGCAAAATGATACCTTTCTCAGAATATCTGAACTCCATCCCTAGAAAGTATGTCATTTTGCCTAGATCAGTCATTTCAAATTCATTCATCAGAACTTTCTTGAACTTGGCTATCTCCTGTTCAGAACTTCCAGTCAATAGTATATCATCAACATATAAACATACCAGAGTCATATTGCCTTCAGAAGTATGCTGAACATAGACACCGTACTCCATCTCACATTTCTGAAAGCCTTGCTTCTTGAAAAATGAATCAATCTTCTGATTCCAAGCTCTGGGCGCTTGTTTCAATCCATATAGAGCTTTGTATAATCTGTACACCATCCCTTCCTGATTCTTTTTCACAAATCCAGGAGGTTGTGACACGTAAACTTCTTCTTCTAATGGACCATTCAGAAATGCAGATTTTACATCTAAATGCATCAGAGGCCAATTCCTGTTAGCAGCTATTGCAATCACCATTCTGATTGTTTCATGTCTTGCTACAGGTGCAAACACTTCAGAGTAATCCAGCCCAGGTTTCTGTAGAAATCCTCTGGCTACCAACCTTGCTTTATGTTTGCCAATTGAACCATCTGGCTTTAACTTCTGCTTGAAAACCCATCTGACGCTGATGGCTTTCTTGTCTTTTGGAAGTTCTGTCAGCTTCCAAGTCTTGTTTCTCTCTATAGCATCAAGTTCTTCTTTCATGGCCTTCAGCCAGAGCTTCTGCTTAAGAGCCTCCTCTGTACTTATAGGTTCAGAGTCTACTAACATGGCACACTGAATAAGTTCTCCTTCAGAGTCTACTTCAGTGTCTTGCAGCATGTCAAATTCTGCAAATCTTCTGGGAACGCTTCTGATTCTTTGTGGTCTCTGAACTTGTTCAGAGTCTTGAGCTTCAGAGTTTCTAACTTCAGATGGTTGACCTCCAGAGCTTTGACCATCTTCAGAGTCTGGCATATTTCCAGAGTCTGAATTGCCACCAAGATCTGGATTGCCATCAGAGTCTGAATCATTAGAGTCTGGGTCATCTGGGTCACCT